TTTTATCAGTGTCCTGAATTAGTACTTAAGCCCAAATACAGTCAAAATTTGTTTGTTACAGAACCCAGCTGACAATGAAGTGCCCGCATTAGCAAGGTTGTCTTTCTATTGGATGAATCTCGGCTCGTGATTGTGTAAGAGACAAATGTCCGCAGTCCATATTAAAGGGGGTCCTTATTAGGCGGGTTGAATTTAGAGAAAATGTAAGGGCTTAGCCCAAGGCCAAAGAAAACTGTCCGTATAATAACGAGGTGTGCATATTAAGCGGATGCCCGTAAAGCGAGGTTCAGCTGTATAATATTGACACCTTTTAACCCTTTAGGCCCCGATATCCAAATTCAAATTCTCCAAACTGATCTCTATACATTTCCATAAAGAATAAGTTGAGAGAATTTGGTAGAAGATCAAAGCATTTTCTCTCAGGTGATTATTTCATTAATTCTCACAACCTTTGCTCTTGATTGTGTATTGATATTGTTAAGGAGAAAATTGATGTTTGTCACTTTTGGGAGTTTCTATACGTACATGTGTATTGCAGTCCACTAGTCGGTCTCTCCAGGCCTGTACTCTGGTATCAAACTTCACAAGGTTAAACTTCACCTTGTGTCGTAATTGTTCCTACAACGAATGTGGAATGCAAGAGACATAAACAGAGAGCAAACTGACTAAACATGAGAAGGGAGTAGAGAGATACAACTATGTCTTTCCTGGAGATCGTTATAAGCGTTTCCTGTAAATATATGGTTAAAATTTAAATCGGTTGTTCGCATTTCTTATAATAAAATTCTTGGAATAAACTCGAGAGAATAAAACACGCGCTTCAATAAGGACGTAAATACCCTGCGTACCAAAAGGCACGAATTTGACCAGTATCTTCTAACTTATGTTATGAAGCCCTGTAGAGTTAAAAAGTGAATACAGTTAATAGGCCATTTTTGAGTTGCCCTAGCACTTAGCCTCGCTTTGAAAGTGAGGGTTTTTGGAACTCGCAAATGGTCTATCGACTATATTTTCAAAACAGCGATAAAGTGAATCGCTGTGAGATGACCCGTGCGTACCTGCATGAGTCTGTAGAGTTTATCCTTCACAAGAAACAATCTTGAAGCCATAGAAGCTGAAGTGTCGATCAAAACAGCCACCTGCAAGAAGCAAATAGAAGAACGACTCAGTGTTCGTACGTGACACTAATTGTAAGTAACTATACAAGACAATGCCCAAAACGTTGGCTAGTTTTGGGAAAGAGCCTTCATGTGCAACCCACAGATGTAATGAAGTTCGAAGGGAGTGGAAAGTTTTGTTCGGTTTAGCGAGGGTAAATTAGAGAACTTTAGATTTGGGGACAAGAACGAGTACGAGTACGAGATTTAACTTAAAGTTTTTGCGCATGTTCTCAAAAAAAAGACACCCTGGACAGCTTTATTTTACTTTTTTTCACCAAAAAGTTAGTACGGTTGTCTGTACTGAAGGAGGTTAAGCCCTCTCCCGATAGCAGAATGATAAAACGCCTTACATTTGGTAACTTGTTCCCGCCACTACGACATTCTCGCTAAAACCCGTCGTAGAATGACGACGGCTATCACGTTTTCCCGCCAAAATGACGCTGGTTCAGGCGTGAGCAATACTCTGTATTGAGAAAATCTCGTACTCGTAGTCCTCCTAGTCCTCGAATCTGAAGCCCTCTATCAAGTCGGGATCGAGTGGTTCTATTGGCCATTTTCAAGGCGCTCGTGAGACTCGACCACTTTGTATTATGGGACTGTTTGGGGATATCATCGAGCGAGTTTTTTTAATGGCTATTACGAAGTTGTACAGAAAACTCGGTGAAATTCTTCTCACTAAATTTTTTTGGCAACTAAGCTCTTCTTAAAACTAACCACCGATCTTATAACAGTACTGAACGACTAGAACCTCGACTCCCAAACACTAACGGAGTACTTTGTCAGTCTTGCTCATATTTAGATTGACAATAGACGGGGAACTTTATTTTGACTTGCGTTTGCCACGTTGTTGCCTAATAACAGACCTGGTCTTCAATAATTGTACCAAACAGCTCTCTGCTTCCTTGCTGTAACCATTCCATCCTGAAAAGAAAATTCATGGAGCACTCCTTAACTACTGCTTATTGTAAGGGCTGTTAATTCTGCCGGGAGAATTATTTTTTTGAGAAGTTATTTCAACGAAAAATTAAAGTAAACTTGATTTAACTACTTGCGTTGTTCTTATGCTTTATTGTAATGAATAGTTATTTCAATGACTCCCTTAATTCTATCAATGACTAACATTTAAATTCTTTAAGCAGATTTAACAACACCGCAGAATCACCTTTCGAGCCAAGGTTGTTACTACGAGCATAATCCCTGGCTACTTTCATAAGAACAAAAGGAAAATATATAATAGTACAAAAAAAAAGTCCTAGCTGCTCCGTTCCCCGCCTACTAATTGCGTATACCCGTCAACTTGAAACATGAAAACCTTAGCGACAGCCCTGTTAATATAGGCAACTTATACAGCAGTTTTAATCCGTTCATTCTTTCTTACCTCTTCTTATACGAGTCTAAAGCTGACAATATTCTCTGTTCGTAATTCCTGTGAATTGGTCCGCTAACATGAACATGCATGATTGTACCATCTTTCCACCGCACGTGCGCAAACTTATCACAGTAACGGGCATTGACCAGTTTTGGGCGCACAATCTGTGAGGATAGAAATAAAAGGCGAAATTTCAGTGTACATGTACATCCCTTCCTTCTTCCATCCATTTATCTTTCTCATTCATTCATTCATTCATTCATTCGAACTTACGTCCGTCTATCTGCACCTCACCTCGCCTCTTCAAGCTCTGTTTATACGCTTAAGGCTTCGTCCGCCTATCTCCGCACTGAATTAATTCAAAGAAAAACTCTGAACCAGCGGCGTTAATTTTTACTGGCTACAGTTTCGGCCTGTTCTTTAAATTTCAAGACAGCATAACTTTACCAAACTTAGCCTGCGAGTAAGCTCACCCCCTGAGTTTCGAGCAAAGCTACCCGCAGTCTCCTTTTGTGTGCTCCTTGTGCGTGATTTTACACGACATCCACCAAATGTAGAGCTTGTTCTTAGGCTTTACCACAATCCTAGCTCTGGAAGGGTACTCTCGCTGGTTCCGGGATTTGACCGGAATAAAGTGTGGATTTCGGATGATGCAAATTTCTTGACGGGTTACGAGATTTGCCCGCTACTTGCGGAGCGGGATTCAACACAATCTTGGCACGGGAGGCGGTATTGGGAAAGAAAACGGAATCCGGCAGTGCTGTCATTAAGGGCTAACTAGCGGCTGGGAATTTCCCCAGCTACAACGGATGTAGCCCCCGGCTACTTTCAGGGGAAAAAAGGAGAAAAATAACAACCAAAAGAAATCCCAAGCTGTTTGATTCCTCACCAACTTGAAATCTTAGTGACAGCCCTAGGTATTCAGAGGGTCCCCAATAGGGTTCTTCAATCCCGATCCCGACTTAAAATTTCATGCAATCCCGTGATCCCGAGGGTTATTTTTGGCATCCAACCTCGCGCGCATACTTTTCAATCCCAAATCCTGCCGCCATTTTGCTTCAAAGTCCAGAATCCCGAGCTTAGATTAAGGGACATTCCGAATCCCGAAACCCATTGGAGACCCTCTATTCAGGATAGAGAAGACAGAAGTTCGGGATGCGCGTTTGTCATAAGAAAGGGGAGGGACCCTGACACTCGATGTGCTTCCAATAAGCCTGCAACACGAACTCCACACGAACACGAACACGAACTACAGCAGTGGTCGGCCAGCCAGCAGAAAAATTGATTTGCACGACTAAACGATTCACTTCGATTCATAGGGTCATTGTATGTTCGTTACAAGAAACAAATATGCTCCGTTCAAATCAACAGTTTAGGGTTAGGAACCGTTATAATCTGTTGGGAGGCAAGCTTTTACTCACTGCATCAGTGCTGTCTGTAGTAGGAGCAACCTGAATGTCTACAACTCCATCGCAGTGTTTAAAAGCCAGTGTCTGTAGCAAATCATAAAAGCCCAGCTTTTTTGCCTTCAAGCCATGTCTCTGTGAAGAAAGGAAGGAATCATCACGTTGTTTTTTAAAGGCCAAACACGATATTACTAAAAAATACACGCAAGTAAAAACAATGCACTTTAGTTGAGTGTCAAAGTATTTAGCACTAAAGTACTAATTGAGGAAAATAATTTTACGTCTCATTCTGCAAGAAGACGGGACCACCATTTTACGTGGTCATGCAACCAAGTCACGCGAAGGTCTTGCGAATTGAAGTAATATATCAGGTATGAGACGCAGTGTTTGTAGTAGATGAAACATTGAGAAGAGAGTTGAAAATACGGCGCGGAGCGGAGCATTTTTGACGAACTTAGAGGTGTCGAATGCTTCACACTACTTCTCGAACAAATTGATTTTAGAAGGAGAAATTACGGATGCAAAAATCAGCAGTTTTTCATCTGATTTCCAAACACTTATTAAACATTAATTGCCTTTATATTTTCTTTATGAATAATTAATGAGTTTGAGAAGGGCAGAGGTAGTAGCTTCACTTCTAAATTAAGAGCCTGAGTATTGGTCCGGCCCCGAGAACCGAACTGACGAACTTCCGCTCTGCAGTCAAGCACTCTACCGACTGAGCTAATCCTGCCGTGGTTCTAATCCTACCGCTTAGATAAATGAATAAATAAGTCAATAAATAAATTTTAGCACATTTTCTTGCTTTTCGGTTTCTTACAATACACTAAAATTTCTTGCTACAGACAAATACCAGATCATTATCAAACCAAATTAAGGAATACTAGAAAACTTCCTGGAAGAAGGTAACTTCAATCTTCAATAAAACTCTTGGGCCAGAATGCGTAAAAAAACTTAATTGCTTAATTTATGGTGCTTTAGTACCCTGAGCCAGTCTCTTGAACTCATGTACATCTCACTTCTGCCTCTTGTGTTTCCTGAGCCGCTCCCCCTTATATGACCTTGCTCTGGGACGGTACTTGGAGAAGTAGATACTGCAATACCAAACACATAATTATGATCAGAAAATTACATCACTTCTAATCACAACAAAGCAACTACAGATGTACAATTTTTTTCCTACTTGTTCAACAGTTTATGCCGAAGAGAATGCCGGAGGGATACATTGCCTTAGTGGTAGATTCAAGCATCAGATTTCAATCTGAAAGTTGGCTGGAGGAGGAATTACACTGCGGCGACGTTTCCTTTGAGCGTGAAACTTTAATCCACACAGTCTTACTAATGCACAGGTTTACTGCGGGTAGTGGCATAGAAACAACATCAAACAGCAACAGTTACATATTGCCATAATAACCTACTGGTATTTACTGATCCAAGAATTTTCACCGGGAACTCAGTTGGCAAATCTTTGCGTTTTGCGGAAAAAAATTACTGTTAAATTCAATTTTAGGTCACAATGAAGGGAATACATTTTTCACTTACAGTTTATCGGTTACGGTCAATTCCTGTCCAATATTTTAGGCACCATACTTGAAAAACCATTGAGGGAGTTTTCTTTTAATTTGTAGGATTATTAGCCAATTATGATGATTATTATTTTCTTGTTATTCTTTTATTTTCCATCTTGTATTCTTAGTCAGTCTATATCGTTCTCGCAGTCCACAAGCGGAAGGAAGCCATTTTTCTTGCCATCAAATTTACCAAACCTTAGTTACGTTATAAATTATAAATAAAAGATCGCAAGTTTTGTACTTTGGGCTCAGTTACATTGATCAGTGAGCAATGTAAAAAAGAAGTAAATGTTTGCGGACTTTTGGGAAATCGAGAGTTTAAATTGCACGACACCTAATTCTTGTGAATAGCTGAAAACCTGCTAAATTTCGGAAAATTTTATCCCCAGAAATTTCATGCCATATAAAAATAAATTCCACTTATCTTGTAACTCCCTCAATATAAAACGTACCAACATGAACAAATCTTACTTGGGGTTTCTCTGGGATCTTTTATTTCACACAACAGAGCTTGAATTTCAGCTAGTGTGTTTCTTGCTTCATCCAGTTCCTCCCATAAAGTGATCACGTCTTCTCTTACACCCACACCAAGGCGCAACGACGGCATTCCATCACCCCTGCCACGCCCAGTGGGCTGATTAGCACTATCAACTTCCATGGATTGGGTGAAGCTATCAAAACTGTCTTCATATTCAGTTGGAACGGAATAAGCGTGGAATCTGGAATTGGGCACACATTCATTCAGTTCAGGAATTTCAATGACTTAATGTTAGCTGCAGCCTGAGAGAAAAGCCGACATTTTGGTACGTTACCACTGTTTTCCCTGCGAAATGAAGTCTGAGGAATTAACATAGATATTGTATAATGACGGAGTGCTACTACCCAGATGAGGGTGGTGACAAGTCATCGGTATGGAGTTTCTGAGCTCGTTCCTCAGACATCAATTTTGGGGGAAACCAAAGGTGCTGTTACAAAATGTTGACTGTTGTCTCAGGAAATGCAACACGGTAGCTGTAGTAGTGAGATAATGGAGACAATTATCCTGTAATAGTGGACAGCAAGCACGCGAAGGGCTCGAAATTAAACTGGCTTTGTTTATGCGATTTGGCACACTTTTTATAACGAAAGCAAAGCAAGATAAGATGAAATGTAAATGTTTTAACTCTACACTTTTAATTTAAATCTAAATCATAAAGAAATCTGGTCGCCAAAGTGGCGACTTTTGGTCTGAAAAGTCAGCGGTTCCTCTTTTACAATCAGCGTAACCGCTGGCATAGTCAGCGTTAAAGCTCGACTCAAGACTAGTGACTAAAAGACACATGAAAGTGAAAGAGTCAATATCACAACATGATGTGATAAATGGATTTTCCTTGAAAGATATATACAAACTAAGTAAAAGGAATAAAGGAAGTTATATGATGTGCACAAGGTGATCTGTTTGTTGAAATAAACTTCAGTGGCCTTAACTATATTTCAACTATAGAACAACTGTAAGTATACAGAAAGAGATGGACTGCCTGTAAGTGTCTTCAGTCTCCTTGGGAAATATTTTGCTGGTGTAGAAAGGCAGCTATATATCCTCCTTGTGCTCTGCCCAAACCAGTTTGCGAAGGCTTTAGAAAGAAGTAACTAGTTAAGCTAACTTTGAGGATACTGTAGATTTAGTGTCATTTAATACAAAGAGCTGAACACATCAGGGATTACAACTGGTGGCAGCACCTTTGTTGGTCACCTACCTCCCTTTAGTTATCCTTGATATGTCCTTCAGGAAAGTCATGGTTGCTGGATTATTGCAGTTGAGAGATACTACATGAATTGGTACACGGGATCCTTGTATCTGTGAGGAAAAAAAAGTGTTGCTCAAATAGTTTTAAAATGTTACAAAATTGGGTTAAAGTAAGGGCACACCTTCCTCTTGAGCATTTCTTGAGATTCATCTGAAGCACTTCCCTCAGTATACAGGTACACAGCTTCAATCTAGGAAACAGAGATGAGAGGCAAGTCGATAGAGAATGGACATTCCTTTAACAACTATGTAGAGTTATGTGCAGGGCATAACAACCCTGGACCCTGTAAGTGTATTCACCGCGACACCATCATACTACTAACCAGTGGAAGTCCTTAACATACTTACAATACACTTACCAAAGGTAAGGAGGGGAAGATTATAATACTTACATGCTGATCAGCAAGTGCCTTGATTATCCCTTCCACAGTAGCTGTCGCGGAACGTGGTACTATTTTGTTCAGGTCCCAGATCCAGTTAAGGGCACCCTCCATACTGTCCAGAGTCACATTGACAGCATGATCCTGCCAGCATTGGGCATCCATGGCACATCTGTTATTTATAATTCATTTGATCAAGTTATATTTATATATTATATTTCGTGGCTTCATGTTCAGCTTATTCAGGGTGCAAAGAAAGTGAGTTTTACAGCCTGCCATTCGGGCAAGCTGTAGCTAGCATGTACTAGCCCACGAGTCATTTCAACTAGCCCCAAAACCCTTTTGAATTAGCAGGATTGATTACAATCCTGTAATTTGAATTTCCCAAAAAAACAGCACTTGCCCATTGGGCAAGTTAAGAACAAAAATCACTAGCCCGATATCAAAATCCACTAGCCCCAGGCTATCGGATACGACTTTCTTTGCACACTGTTATTAAGCTGATCTGTTAAATATGATTGACAAGGCAGGCACATTTTGACCACTGCATAATGCAGTTTGTTTTTTTCACAATATTATTACAGTACTACTAGTACGTGTAGTGTTAAATTTACCTAATGAGGTTAAACTTTGCAATAAACATGACTTGTTCCTTGAGTACTTGGATCAGTGCATGAAGGTAAGTACTGAACTCAGATTCACTTTCTGTGTTCACATCCAGTACAATGGAGATACACCTCTCCTCGATCACTCCAAAAATTCGTCGACTATAAGAAAAAAAGATTTTAATCAGTCAAAGACCAGGAGATGACTTCACNATCACTAGCCCGATATCAAAATCCACTAGCCCCAGGCTATCGGATACGACTTTCTTTGCACACTGTTATTAAGCTGATCTGTTAAATATGATTGACAAGGCAGGCACATTTTGACCACTGCATAATGCAGTTTGTTTTTTTCACAATATTATTACAGTACTACTAGTACGTGTAGTGTTAAATTTACCTAATGAGGTTAAACTTTGCAATAAACATGACTTGTTCCTTGAGTACTTGGATCAGTGCATGAAGGTAAGTACTGAACTCAGATTCACTTTCTGTGTTCACATCCAGTACAATGGAGATACACCTCTCCTCGATCACTCCAAAAATTCGTCGACTATAAGAAAAAAAGATTTTAATCAGTCAAAGACCAGGAGATGACTTCACAAGTTCAATTCAAATAACTGTATTGACAATCACGTGTATATAACTATAAATCTTTTAGAACTCATTACCTCTCAGAAGTAAGCCACTCAAGTCGCCGCTTGTAAAGTGATATGGCCTGGGTGAGTTGGCTTTCAATCATGCGAAGTTTTTCCTTGCTGGCAACAAGCTGTTAAAAAGCCATAAATGATGTGAATGAGAGTCACGTAATTTTGATGACCAGTAACTTAGTACATATTATAAAGTCATGTGTAATGTGTACTTACATTGTAGATAGTGCCGTCTCTAAAGGGAACCTGGGTGAATAATCCCTTGCAGTATCGCGCACGCACAGGTTTCTTCAGTGGCCTAACATAATCTGCAAAGGAGGAATCATGCAAATACAGAGTTTGTACCTATAAATTACTCCAACCAGAATTCAACGCCAAATTCTTTATCACACAGGGTTCTTAACAGACAATTGTTAAAAAAAAGTATTTGAAAGGAAATATATAAAAATAATGACATATTATTTTCGTGTCATTTCCACCATTGGGTATATGATGAACTCACAGTGGCCTGCTCTCCAGTGACTTGATTAGCTTAATGGATAGAGTGTTGTGTCTGGTCATCACTGAGGTCAAGGTTCAATACCAGTCAAGCATGAATTTTTTCAGCTTCTTTTCAACCGCTTACAGCTGTAGGTTGTTTATTCAACTGTAAGGATCATTAATTTCCACTTTCATAAAAAAATATTGTTGAAATACTCATCGGAATAATTATTTATTGTTGAATTATTTCATCTTACCATCAGAATGTCTAAACCCTATGGAGGGCAATATCTGTCCCATGTCAAGTTTATGTCTTTTAAGGCCATGTATCTGTAAGAAAAAGATAGCCTTGCTGCATTTTAGTGAGAATTATGTCCAAATTGAAGTGAGTAATTATTGAGTGTACGAGGCATACATGTATAAAAGAGACTATGCTAGATTTCAGGCTGACTCCTTTGTTAAAAACTGCCTGGATGATTATGTAACCTTCAACATGAAAAGCTCAGCAGCATACGCATGTATTTGAAAGTAAACATTCCACTGGGACTGGTACATTTAACAATAAGTATATTATAATAATCATTCAAAATATTCTGCCGTTTGCGATTGGCTCCAATTCCCTGGCTTATTCTTCACAACCAACTGGTGCTAACCATATTATTTTGAAAAATGCAAGTAATATATACTATGGATTTGATGGTATAAAATAATGTTACTGCAACAATGTATACAAACGATCAACTCGTTTAGGCTAACAGCCTACCTCAATGTGCATTTACAATTCTTCACACCCTTAACTCAGCCTCATTCAATAATATTACTGCTAAATATCTGGGGACAATACATCTTAATTATAATAAGTATCACTGAAGGCTGCAGGAAACTCAAGACTGTCAGGACCGATTATAATGTACTTGAACACACCTTTATCATCTTGATTATTTGTTACACATGCAATATGTACCTTAAGCCATTGAGATGTTGACAAAAGCATGCGTACATCTGGTTCCCATTTGCTTGTGTTGGGTGAGTTCAGTCGTTCACTTTTGGATGGTGCAGTGGATTCATATGGTGATGTCCCATTTCCATTTTTGTGTTTCTTGGATGCAGGAATGACTGCTTGATGATTCCTGGCTGAACTTTCAATAGGCCCTGAAAACATAACATAAAAAGTATTTTGGGCCTTGAAAGGGAACTTGTAAGCTGTACTTACTGATAAGGTCTAATGATGCAAAAGCACCGCTGTCCAAGGCTGCTAATGAAAGCCATGTAGTCAACTGGTCTACTACTATGTGACTGACTGCATTTCCCTTAATTGCCAACTTCTCCCCTTCTTGACATGCAAATATACCCAATACATACAGTCACTAGATGCACCTTAAGTTAACATTCTGGGCCGGGTCGTTCACAGCATTTTTGAGATAACCCAGGGTTAGTGCGAAATTTGAATTCAGAGATGAAAGCTTACACCATTGTAGAATTAAAGCAAATTTAGTTTAATTCTTTTTGTCTTCAATTTCAATGATGATTGGCTACTCTTCAAAGAATAGAGAAAACTATCCGAGAAAATGCTTTTGATGAAAAGAAAAGAAGCCCGGGTTAGAATTCAACCATGGCTTAGCGCTTGGCCTTCGAACAACTGGGCACCAAGGACCAAATCCTCACAATAGGTACACTACTTTGAGGCTCCTCGTCAAGTGATTGGCTTAGTACAAACATTAAAGGATACTACTCAAAACATTATACAGAAGATAAAAAGAGCATAAAAAAATTAATTAGGATCTCAAATTTGTTTCAAGCTGTTTCAATGTCTGGTAGGTTCAGTGCTATATCCCATTTTGGCATGAAATAGGTCACATGACCCCAAACTTCAAATGGTCTTATAGCCACAAATTCCTCAGAATTTTCTTTCATGGTAAAAAATGGATGCTGAGTGCCTACCCCAACAATAACTACTTTGGGAAAAGTTGAATGGGGATCAAGAGAACAGTTTTGACACGTAAGCAAATTGATTGTTATTCCTGCTTATAGCTTGACTGGATGGTGTATTATTAATTTGGAGCTGCTCAGGTGTGAGCAAAAGGCTAAACTACTTGCCATNCTTTCAATAGGCCCTGAAAACATAACATAAAAAGTATTTTGGGCCTTGAAAGGGAACTTGTAAGCTGTACTTACTGATAAGGTCTAATGATGCAAAAGCACCGCTGTCCAAGGCTGCTAATGAAAGCCATGTAGTCAACTGGTCTACTACTATGTGACTGACTGCATTTCCCTTAATTGCCAACTTCTCCCCTTCTTGACATGCAAATATACCCAATACATACAGTCACTAGATGCACCTTAAGTTAACATTCTGGGCCGGGTCGTTCACAGCATTTTTGAGATAACCCAGGGTTAGTGCGAAATTTGAATTCAAAGATGAAAGCTTACACCATTGTAGAATTAAAGCAAATTTAGTTTAATTCTTTTCGTCTTCAATTTCAATGATGATTGGCTACTCTTAAAAGAATAGAGAAAACTATCCGAGAAAATGCTTTTGATGAAAAGAAAAGAAGCCCGGGTTAGAATTCAACCATGGCTTAGCGCTTGGCCTTCGAACAACTGGGCACCAAGGACCAAATCCTCACAATAGGTACACTACTTTGAGGCTCCTCGTCAAGTGATTGGCTTAGTACAAACATTAAAGGATACTACTCAAAACATTATACAGAAGATAAAAAGAGCATAAAAAAATTAATTAGGATCTCAAATTTGTTTCAAGCTGTTTCAATGTCTGGTAGGTTCAGTGCTATATCCCATTTTGGCATGAAATAGGTCACATGACCCCAAACTTCAAATGGTCTTATAGCCACAAATTCCTCAGAATTTTCTTTCATGGTAAAAAATGGATGCTGAGTGCCTACCCCAACAATAACTACTTTGGGAAAAGTTGAATGGGGATCAAGAGAACAGTTTTGACACGTAAGCAAATTGATTGTTATTCCTGCTTATAGCTTGACTGGATGGTGTATTATTAATTTGGAGCTGCTCAGGTGTGAGCAAAAGGCTAAACTACTTGCCATACCAATAAACAACAAAACCCTCTTTCTATATCACTTGTTCTTCCGTGCCTTCCAACAAGGTGGACCCGAATGGTCCTTTATTCTGTATAGTTCACATCATTATGTAACTTGAACCCTTACCCCATTTCCAACCTTTAAAGTTACACTATACCTGCCCCTGCAAAAAACCCTGCAAATATTGACTAGCTATTTTTCTGGAGGAGGGTAATCTGGAAATAAAACTCTGTTTTTGTTACAATGTAGCTGTTCATCAAGGACTCAGCTTGGAAGGTAAAGCTTTCAGATCATGTGTTGACCAATGTATTGGCCAACATCTAAGTCGACTGTCGATCAACTTATTGGTTGCTATGTTAATCGAGTGTTGCTCAAGTGTTGAACAAGTACCTGATGAGTGTCGGTCGAGTATCAAACAAGACTTGACAGGCACACTGTAGTTGGCTGCTACAGTGTATCGGTCCAAGGTATTGCTTGACACCCTCCCATAAGACAGTGATCCAAGCTTTCTTGCAGGCTTATCAGCACCAAGCAGTAGTCTCAGCTATCACAGATTTGAACAATAAATTTGAAAATAGTTTCTCTGAGCTTCAAGTGACTTCAAAAGCTGGATGGCTACTATTTGTCAATACATTTTCGTTTTAATCACATTAGGGTGACAAAGATACGTCAACAAGTATTAAAACAAAAGCATGAAAAAGTGTTTTCTTGATACTGAACTTTCGCCGTTATGAGGCGTTTCAAACAGTGCGCTGTCAATAACGCGATTTTCTTATCTGATGATCAGCCTTCCAGGCGTGCAGATAGTAGAACAAGGCGCGAAGTCATCTCTTTGCGCCGTCACAGCAATCTGAACGCATGGTACAGGCTAGTTCATCACAGACAGTATACCTTATTAACACTGCTCTCAAGGCAGCTTTCAAAACAAAGCCACGTTATTAACTACATAATGTAGAAGACAAATGATCTTGTCTGACAATGTACACTGAAATTCGACAAACTACTCTTTGTATCATCTTACCAGCTCCCGATCCACTGCCGTGAGTGTGGCGAAAATTTTCGTACATCATCTTTCGAGACTGAATACCACTTCCTCGATAGTGTTATCCATAAATCTGAGCACTTGTCCAATCCTTGCATAAATACGGCCGGTGCGGAGCAAAAAGGCTGTATTCCGTCGTTGCTACACAAGCTGGTTTCTATCGTCTTTGAGAGGTCTGTCAATAAACCAATCACCTGCAGAAATTCGCGTCACATGATTAGTCAGTCAGCGGTTGTAAACAAAAGCAAAACTAGAACTATGTATGCAAGTATGTATGTTTCGTACCTGGTGTAAAAAGATCGATTACAACAAACATCAACATCGCTGTTTGTTTGCTCACGCGGTGTTTATGCTTGTTTATATTAGACGAACTTTGTGGAATTGAATCCTAATACTGTAGTGAGATTTCTAATCCAAGACAAGGGAAACAAGACAGGTATTTAAAAAAAGATCCTTATCGTTATTTATAAATTTTGATATCGGAGTTTCGCCGCAGGAAAGCTTTTTCATTTGAAGAACTGCTCGCCCACTCACATCTTCTCGCATATTTGATCTCCATTAAAAGAAAATTGTCTGCATTATGCCAAGTAATTCTGAAGCTACACCCTAAACAACTCAATATTTTATTAAGTTTTCGCAGGGTGAATCTTTATTAGATCGGCATGGATTTTGACCGGGTCCTTTCAAATGACATTTGTTCGCCGCAACTTGACGATGACACGGTCAAATATGATGCTGGAAGCAAGCATGGCATAAAGGCATTGATGGTGATGGACGACTTGAGAAAACGCCAACAGCTCTGTGACGTGACAATCTGTGTTGGAAGCAAAAAGATCCACGCACATCGTTTAGTTCTAGCGTCGTTTAGCTCATATTTTCAAGCTATGTTTACTGGGGGAATGATGGAAAGTCGGGAAGAAATGGTAACCTTGAAAGATGTCGACTGCAAGACCGTTGAACTGCTTATAGATTTTGCTTACACTGGGAAACTGGATATATCGATCGATACAGTTCAGTCCCTCCTTTATACTTCTTCTTTGTTACAACTCACCGCAATTCAGAAGGCTTGTTCTGACTTTCTAGAACATCAACTACATCCATCCAATTGTCTGGGAATTCGTTCTTTCGCAGATGCGCACTCTTGTACTGGTTTGCTTCAAGCTTCGGAGAAATACATTTACGAACATTTCAATGATGTTGTAAAGAATGAAGAATTTTTACTTCTTCCCCGCGATGAACTAGCGGCGTTGTTGACTTGCGAAGAACTAAATGTTGATTCTGAAGAGGATGTTTATAATGCTCTTATTTCCTGGGCTAGACAGGATGTAGACGAGAGACAATCCTTCCTAGCTGAGCTTCTTGGCATAATTCGCCTGCCGTCATTATCTCCTCATTTCCTAGTTGACCGGGTAGAAAAAGAAGAACTTATCCGCCAAGACATTGCATGTAGAAATCTCTTGGATGAAGCCAAGAACTTTCATATGTTACCAGATAGGCGGCGTAAGCTTGGAGGTCAAAAATCTCGACCTAGGCGTTCCACCTTTGGCAAACTGTTTAGTGTTTGTGGAATGGATTCAACAGGACACCCAGTGAGGACTGTAGAACAGTACGACTTTCACAGCCGTAAAGTAAAGAACCTCTGTCCACTCAACACTCCACGAAGTGGGGTGGGTGTTGCAGTACTTAATGGAAAGCTTTATGCAGTTGGAGGACATGATGGGACTAGATACCTCAGCAGGTGTGAAGGCCCTTAAATTATGAAATGCAGCTGTGAATGTTAAGCCTGAGGGTGGTTGAAGGGTTATTTTCTTGAATGTTATTGGGGTATCATATATAACACTCATGCAAGCTGCGTTAACCTTTCCAGCTTTTGTTATTGGCCAGTTAAGATGCACCCCAAGAAAGAGAACCTTAAAAAGTCAGTTAAGTTTCCAAGTTTGGGATTTGTGGGTTCGAAAGTAATGAAGATAATAATTTTTCTCCAATGTTCATCACCCAAATTGATTATATAATTTATAGGCTTTTGTACAGTGTGCCCCCCACCACACCATCTACATGTGCTATTTGCATCTGTTCCCACCCATGTTACAGTAGAACCCCAGTAACTCAAACTCTGAAGGGAAACGAAAAACAGTTTGAGTTAGCAAGGGTTTGAGTTAACAGGATCAATAATTGCAGAATTCAATTTGCCACATTGATAGTTACTGATTTTTCAGCACTCAGTGTATAGTGCAGTGCAAATGTAACTTATTTTATTAGAAATGGTAACATGATTAGGCATTTTTTATAGTGATCTGTTTGTTGCCCCAATTAAAATCAAATTGATGTAGTGTTGGCCAGTGTTAGTTTTAGTGTTTTTACTGATTATACAAAAAACGAGCTAATGGGATGGCAATCAAGTGGAGTTACATGTACTAGAACCAGAATTCGAGTTATCGGGGTAAATTTCAGTGAATTTTTAATCAAGGGAAATGGAATTTCATTTAAGCTAGCAGGGAATTTGAGTTAACCGGGTTCCCATTAACCTAATAAAAATGACTGAAATTTGACGTAAAATCCAAGAAAAACTGGACTTAGTTCAAGTTAGCGGGGAGTTTGAGTTATCTGAGTTTGAGTTATGAGGGCTCTACTGTATATCTTCCCTTATTTTACATCTATATGATACAAATATCATTCCAAAACTTGGCAACATTACTCATTTTAAGGTGCTCCGTCCAGCAGTGTCGGTGGATATGTGCCACAAACTGATCCATATTAAAATTTGAAAAAGATGATGTACACTGTAAGGGTCTGATGGCACCAACTTTAGTTTTTTTTTAAATTTAGATATTATTAATGTTTGAAAGGAATCATCTTTTTTTTCACTAAACCCAGTGTTGAATGCTATGATGTCACCACAAAAGAATGGAAGTTTGTTGCTTCCATGAATCATCCACGTCGATATGTTGCTGCTGCAGCTTTAGGAGGCTTACTGTATGCTGTTGGAGGCTATGATGGCATTTCAGTACTTGATTCTGTGGAAGCATATGATCCAAAACTTGATCAGTGGAAGCGAGTGGAAAGCATGTCAAATGCTCGCAGGCATGTGGCTGTTGGTGTCTTAGAAAATGATGAGAATGATGGTTCTGGGCCAGGTAATTAAAAAATACCATATTTCCTCAAATAAGTGCCCACGCACTAATCGGGCCCTGCCCCGATCAAGCACCTACACTCCAGGCCTAAGTATCAAACAAGTGCACCCCCCTCAAATAACTGTCCCCCTCCCCTCCCCATCACTTTTTTTAACAGTGCAGATACAAGGAAAACCTGTTTCTATTGCCACTTTATTGATAACTCTGTCTGTAAACAATACAATGGAACTAATAGGTGCGCTTGATCACCAACAGTCTGAGAACTTGATAAGTGCCCCCCTCGATTAAGGTCCCTCCTTCCAATAAGCACTCATCCTTTTAGCTGAAATTTTAAATAAGTGCGTGGGCTTATTCAAGGAAATCTGGTAATCATTGTTAAAATGCATTAATATATTTTGTATTCCCACCTTATAGTGTTGACGGAGCTAGGTGTTTTCTTAGGGAAGTACACAATGTATTAAAGCAGTTAACCTCCACCATTTTTTTAGCCCTCAACTTTGACTATGGAAGTGGTCTGAAGAGCTAATCTTGAGCTTGGCTTTATGTGTTAATTTTCTTTTGGCAATCTTGCCAAAGACACTTTAACTATTAAACCTTCCCACACAACCTTCTTTGGATTTGATAAATGTTATTTTACTTTGGACATTTTCCATCATCCCCAGTTACTTATTCATGTATTCTGTGCTTGAGTGGAAACATTTATTTCAGCCATCTGAAATGTGTCTCTTTCTCCGCAATTCTTTTGAACAAGCAAAAAGTTGTATCTTAACCTAGTGAATTCAAAATAGTTCAGACAAGAGAGCAACTTAAGTTACAGTAACTGATGCGATAAATTTTTAGAAACTTTTACATGTAATGGTGTCATTACTGATTTCAGTTTATTCAAATCTGTCACAATCATTGTGGTAACTTTTTATTCTATGAAACTGGCCTTTTTTTTTTTAATTCCATGATTATAGGTTTTTTTTTTATATCATACCACACTGAAGCTGTGCTGTAACTGACTAACATACAGTGTACATGCTAGAAATAGTGAAAACTGAGAGAACAACTCTTGAAAGTGTCGAGTATTAAAAATGCGTTTTTCTTTTAATAATGCAAATGGTACATGTACTTCAGCTACCTAATAATAAGATTTCTTTTTCTCCCTCTTTTTTCATTGTATGTAATGTATGCCATCCAGCTTCAACCCAGGTCTCTTTTTTTTACTTTTTTGAGCATAATAATTTTACCTTCAGTATTAAAAGTGTTCTGACATTTATATTCTCAGGATATCTGTTTGCCGTTGGTGGCCATGATGGGATCATCTATTTAAAGACAGTTGAAAGGTACAACCCCGTCATTAATGAGTGGACTTATGTTGCATCCATGGGAGCACGGAGAGGTGGAGTGGGTGTGGCCACCCTTGGGGGTTGTTTATATGCTACAGGTGGATACGATGGCACTTCCAACCTCAGTACTTCAGGTATGTCATGACTCCTCAGCCATGCTATGGTCAAACCTGTATATTATATAGCGGTCACCCTGTATATTATGGTCACCAGACAACTTCCCAAACTGTTCATTGCCCTATATTTTCTGCAAAGTTGACCTGTATACATGTTTAGCAGTCACCCTCTATATAACAGTCATCTTTCCATTTCCCAAGGTTCACCTTGACTGTATGACCTGTATTCTAGTTTAAACCTGGGCTGGGTTGTTCAAAGCTGGGATACAATAATCCAGGTTACTGCGAAATTTGAATTCAGATATGAAAGCAAGAAAACGCTTTTGATAAAGAGAAAAAAACCCGGGTTAACGCAAATTGCCTGTCAAACAGATGGGCCCTGGAGAATAAGATAAAGTCATTCAAAGTCAAGTGTCATTTGTATCCGTCACTGGCCCTTTATTTGTGAGTCATGGATACTTAACCTTAGGGTAGGACCAGCAATCCAAAGATGATGCCAAGGATGGCCCCTGTATACCTTCCTTTAAAGATGTTTTGAGTTGTTATTACGTCCCACCCAATATTTGGCTGCAGTTCCAACTGTTTGAATTTTGATAAAATTTATTTTGTTACACAGCTCCTTTAAGACAGTATACTGTTGACTTATAATAGATGAGTTTCAAAGATAAGTGTTAAAAAATCTGGGAAATAAGATGATGATGACTATAAAAGAAAGTCCCACAGCCATCTGATATAATCCTTGGGTATTTTTCTCTCAAGTTATTATAATTCAACACCCCTAGAGTAGGAATTACAGCTGTACTAATGAATTAAAATCTGTTTTGTCTTCATTACATAAGAGCGCTACTACCCTGAAGAAGACAGATGGGCTTTTGTGGCACCAATGAGTGTATGCCGTAGTGGACACGGCGTAGGAGTTGTTAATGGGTGTCTGTATGCCCTAGGAGGTGTACTACCCCACAGTATGGCGTTGTTTCATCTTAAGAAACTGGGAGTTCAACCACTTACCTGATCACAACCAGTGATGGGAATGTGTAAGGCTGTGGCTGGTGTAGCTGTTATGAAGGAACACTGACATTTGGAGCATATCAGTTTTGCAAGAGTTAGAGTGATTTTCGTATGACTTTAAAATGAAAACGCGCGAACAGAACAGAAACAACGAAAGAACGGAAATAGAGCGATTTGATTGATCTTTTCATCCATTAGCTGATAAAACAAATAACGAACACTTACCGAAACCATTTTTCAAGGACATACGAAAATCGCTTTATGAAAAAAGGACGAAAAAAAGGAGCATTTACTTTTGTCCCTTCGTTATTTCGAGGTCCACTGAGCATAAATTTTGATGGAAACGAGATCTTCCACAAACTTAAATCCAAATCATGGTGCTGGGGAAAATCATGCATGGTGGGTACGGATCCCTGAAAAATTCCAAGACAGGATACTAAAAAACGCACCCTACCCTAGTGGCCCCTGTTTTCTTTCATTCATTCAATACTGGAAATAACTAGCCTGCTGAGCAAAGAAAGACCAAGGAACGGGATTTTCGGTTTTGGCCGCGCGAGAAATGGAACGAGAGCCCTTCCCCGCTCTTTTACTCGCGGTCTTTGACTCTCGTTCCTCGTTCTTTGCGCCGAAACCAAACGGAAACGCTTGCTACGCAGGCTAGGAAACAACTGCCAGGAATAATTTGCAATAAATTTATAAATTGTTTGGACGTGTTGTCCAACCAAAGGTGTCTCCGCCTTTCCCTTGAATGTATGGTGGTCAAAGAAGAAGAAGGAAGTAACATTGTGTTTTCTTTGGGGAGGTCTCGATTTAATTCATTACTTGATTGAAAACAGCACTGCAATGCTCAATGGAGCACAAAAGTATTGATTTCCGTGAGGAACATGTATGTATGTGCCCTGTAGATGTTAACCTTTTCCAAGAGTGTTATAAGATTGTCGTAGCTATTGTAAAAGGTTTACTTGGCAAAAATTTGATATGTTTTCGAGACACTGCTGATAAGTCATGCTCTAAAAGAAATGGAGAGCTCATACTTAATAATATTTATTTGTGAAAACACTCTTTAGTCGACTAGAATGATGATAAGATATTACTGTCTATGTTAGACGCACGATGAATTTTGGCTTTTTGTTTTACATTTTAAGCCGTTATTACTAAGTATGTTTTGTGTTGCACAACGCGCCATTAAATGTACAAAACAAAGTGTTATTAAAAGGATACAAGTGCAATTGCCACTAGATTATTAAACTGGAATCAAGGTTGCAATTGTTTGATGGGGCACTGAATATACTGTCATGTCGGTGGTAAATTGTTCTCATCTTCCAAATTTGGTAACCTTCTGCTGGTTTTGAAGAATTAGCTGGGGGATTTAAACCAATCAGAAACGGCGGAATATTTTTTTAAAAAATGAATAATTTTTGAACTGAAATGATGAAATAACGAATAATGGCCTCAAGAAAATTTTCGAGCGGTAAATCATGGAATAATTACACCCAATTGTTCCTCTTCACCCCTTTATTGAAATAGTGCAGTTTCAAAATTCAATAGCCACAAGTTCACGGCCAAGCAAAGTTTGCTTTAAAGGGGCTATGCTACATGAGAAAAATCCAGCTAGTGGTCTATTATCAATGCTGCGTTCTAATTGGTTGATCTACTACTAGGTTATATGTTATAGCCTACTATAGTAGCGAAAAGCGCCGGCTTCTTGAAGGCATAAAAGGATTAAAGTCTAGCTTTAACTAGCTAAAAATGTTTTGTCTCCATATTTTTGACCAACTAGTTGGATTTTACTAAAATTATTATTTCCCTCGCTCTCATGGCCTCTGAGTTAATAGCCCATTCGGCCTTCGGGCTCATGGACTATTGACTCGAAGTCCATTCGGGCTCGAGGAATAATCGTTAATTATTTGCCATCTTTGTAAAAAGCTGAAGCATTTTTCACATCAGTCGAGTTCCAAAACTAATGCTCCAGTTTTGTTACTATAATTAGGCATTGAAACTGTTTCCTGTCGTCTGCTGCGGTGGATGGTAAGGATGGCCATGTATTGAAACTAGAGAAAGTTGGGCCAACTTTTTCAATTTTTTAAAAAAATTGAAAAAATACTATGCCTGCAAAAATCACCAAAAACTTTAATTATGGTTATTGCTCCTAGTGAAATTTGTTTGATATCTTCTTTATATCTCCACAGGAGTAAGGGCCGCAAATGCAGTAAGGTCCAGTCAGTTCAAACGTCGATCTTTTCATGTACCGAACCTAATCCCTTCAATTAAGTACCTGAAAAGTTCGACGCTTCAAATATTATTTGGTCGACCCATGAATTAAGATCCAGTGGCCCATACAGGAATTTGGACTGTGGCGTAGACTGCAAAACAGTCGGGTTTTTTTCTCAAAATCATTAAAGAAATCGGTAAAGCGTGGTTCGCGCGCGAGCCGCGCGTACTTGAATACGCAAAAATACGGAATGTTTTGCAGTCTAATTGTGGAGCGACTTCGTTTAAAACGTCGAACTTCTCATGTGCCGAACCTAATGTGTAAATTACTAATATATTTATTTAGCCAGGGCTAAAAGCGTCGGAAGGCTCGATAATATTTTGAGTTTGCTCGAACAAAATATAAAATCGTGTAATGCTGAGCGGCGAAGGCAACGAGAACGGTGAAAAAACAAAAATAGGTCTAATTAGCAAAAAGCCAACTTTGCACGTGAACACCCTTTTTTGTATATTTCTTTGCCGTTGTTTTGGAAGACTACATCGTGAAACTTCCTGGTTACACTTATGGAGGAACTGTCGTACGTGATCTTGTTGACTTTTTTTTCACTGCCGCTCATTTTTACCTTGGTGGCCGCTAGCAGTTCTCATAATTTCACCGCCGCTACAATGTTCATGTTGTTCTTCCAACAAAAAAATGACTCCTTTGTTTTTTATCTCTCGCTGTAGCTCTTGATCGCTCTTTTTCTTTCCTTGAGCTTCGCTGGCCTGCCGCCCACTTTCTCCTTTTCTCTGCCTTTCTCTTTCTCTATATTCCAAATTTGTGGACATGACATTTAATCTAAGCTTAATACTTCAGACAACACGGACACAAAAATAATTTCCGCTTTCCGTTTTCGTCATTATTGACTCTACGTTTAGTTGTCTCTGCTTCACAAGACGCGCGTGGCTACGCGATTTCCCGCCAAAATAACCTCGAGTTGCATTTGGGTTGCCATACCTGTTATTTGAGTTATTTTACATTGGTATGCCTGTGATGCGGACGGATGGGCGCACGGGCAGACGGTCACGTAATTACCAAAATTTCTCGGATGGGTAGATTACCACATTTTCTTAGATATGGGGCTACGCCTGCGCGCCAGTGGAGCCCCGCTAAAATTTTTTTTCACTTGTAGACATTTTATATTAGACCATTAAACATCGTGAAAATGAATTGAGTCCGACTAAGTAAGTTCGACGTCTGAATCAACCGTCGAACTTATATCATTTGGGTCGACCTAAATTAGCAATTAATGAATGAGGCTGAGTAGGATATATACCTCTTATTAGCCGAGTTTTCGGTCTGTACTGTAAATTACGGACCGAGTTTTTTTTGCATCGATTTATGGCCCAAGCGCGAAGCGCGCGGGCCATAAATCGATGGAAAAACACGAGGATCCGTAGTTTACACTACGGACCGAAAAAACGAGGCTAATAAGATGTTTATTATATGGCTTCTTCCTGTTTGGGGGACCGGAAACAGGTGCAGGACGCACGATTTGACAGTCATTTGACTGGTGTCCAAAAAGAAAGTTTTTATTGGCGCACGAAAACAATAGCACAAAACAAAGGGTTTCCGAGAAAGTAAAAACAAATTCGCCATGTTGAAAAAGTTTATTCGGTCAAAACTAAGAGCACTGTAAGTTTTAGCTCTTTAATGCAACGCTTGGGTATTTCGGAAACCGGACACTGTGTCTGTCTAGAAGTCTTTTCCATCTTTCCTCCGTTTGTCCTTGTAAAAAAAACACTGAAAAAGGCAAAGAAGCTTTTCAAGGTAAGTTTGTTGTCATTGTCGTAGGATTCGCTCGTAAATTGTTTTTGGGACAACCTCTCTTTATGCCAGTTCATTCTCGTCTTCAATTGTGATCTGTGTTAAAATTTTCAAACACTGACTAGCATTCTCTTCCTCGGCAAGGTTGCGATTCAGTGTTTACATCAGCTTCGTTCTCATTAAAACAAACCTAGTTTAAAATTTCGAAAGGCAAAGTCAACATCCCAGTCCTCAAGATTTCCAGACATATTTTAAAGTTTATTCGGTCAAAACTAAGAGCACTGTAAGTATTCACTCGTTAATGTGACGCTGGAGTCTTTTGAAAACTAGACATTGTGTCTGGCTCGAACTCGTTTCTATCTTTCTTTCGTTGGTCTTTGAAAAAACACTGCAAATGGCAAAGAAGCTTGTCAAAGATGATCGGGTGCAGGTATGTTTGTTATCATATTTCAGATATTTGTCGAAGAAATTACTCATTTTCTCTTAGGCAAAACATCTCGAATCTCTGCCAGTCGATTTTCGTCTTCTTAACTGTGTGCTACGACGAAATTTTCAAACACTGACTAGAATCCTCTTCCATAAGTTAACGAGTTAGTTTCTTCATCGCCTTCGTTCACAAATAAAGATAGTTTAAAATGTTGAAGGCCAAAGTCAACATCCAAGTCCTAAAGGTTGACAGACATCTTATAACTTTATTTAAACCTTTTTTTGCGAGGTAAAGAGATTTAGAGCTCCGAAATGAGCATTTTCTTTAAAAAGTTTGGTCCGTATAGTAAGTTACGGACCGCAAATTGACCAATCGCATGGCGAAAACAGACTCAGTCATATAATCAGAAGAATTATGCAGATCGAGGAGGATGTTACCCATCGAGGCGTTCGGTCCCGGTGGATAACACCCTTCGAGATCTGCATAATTCTTTATATCCTACGAAAGCCGAATTCATTAATTGCTTTATTGTTCATTCAAAATAATTCCTAGTTTAAAACCAACTAAAACATGCTTACCTTCGTCGATGTTAAGTTCACCTCGATAGTGCATGTTTAGAAGATAAAGGGCTGTTCAGCTCCAAAAAACAGATGTTGTCCTTCGAGTTGTCTTCTTGCTATGTTTTTAGACAATAGTTCGGCGTGAAAGGAGTAAAATGTTCCGCCGACTGTTCGGCCATTTCTCTTTTCACAACCAAAACAACTCAATCTCATTCCCAGGTCTTCTCGGTTAACGGTGCATTTTAATACGGTGGTCTATTCTTGCTATCGTTGTTGCCGTTGCTTGTACAACCTTACGTTTTTTCCACGATTGAAAAGATAACAGACATGAATGAAGACTAACCGAAAAACAACAAAAGTTAACAAAACTTCATAAAGCAGTACATATATTCATCCTTACTTTCCAACCATCTTCCATATAACAAAATCTGGTCTCAGTGTGAATAACAAAGAAATCCTATGTGGGGAACAAGTAAAATTGTAAACTTTTCTTGGCTATTGCTTTCAACTCTTGTGATTGGTCAAAATCTTTTGACACAGAAAAACACCCTTTCAAAGTAGAGTGTAAATGCATTTTATTGCGTAAACGGCCTTCATGTAGGTTTATGCATTCTCTGTGTAAAAATGATAACATTCCTATGTGGGGAAAGCACCGTCCCCGCATAACAAAAGAAATTGCTATCCACCTTACCCGGATCATTACTTAACCTGCAACAGTGCTGCACTTTTGACGTCTTTGGTTGATTAATCGCAAAGTTCTTCCAAATTTGGTCAACAGTACCTGTTTATGGTGAATTATGCATGTGCTTTTAGCCAATCAGAAACGGAGAAATATTATGAATGAATAATAATAGGTATTAAGTTCGGCAAATGAAAAGATCGACGTTTGAAATGGGCCTAAGTAACGATTTCAACTCAGAATTGACCTAAAACAGCAACGTCCTCGTGACATAATCCCTTTTTAAAAGAACATTCGTTTTTCATTCTTGGTAACAAATGAAATGAATTTATACACGGATAAAAATGCAGGTTGAAAGCTACCACAGTCAGGAATAGTGCTAACTTCACCAGTTTCTAACCCAGGGCGGGCTTACTATTATCCGCCGTGGTCTGACCCGTTTAGGGTTACGTAAACAATCAGGGATAATCTCTCAGTCGACTCTCACGCTACGCTTCATTGGGCTTAAAAAGCGTCCTATTTGTAACAATAAGGTAAAAGCGCACGCAAACCAAGGAGGTCAACTTCACGCGGTTTGAGCTTTACCCGGCTCCTGTAGCAAGAGAAAGGTACAGCTGAATCACCAAGAACAAATAGCGTTGGTTCAAATTCGCTCAAATAATTAGTTTTAACCGAGTAAACAGCGACGACGATATCTTAACGCAACCCGACACTAATCAGCCTGTTGCTGAGGGGTCGGTGACCATTTTCGTTGAAGGCCACACCCTTGTACCCAGGATTTGTGGAGGCTGTACGGAAGTAACGCGATGTTGTATCACCACACCACGAGTGACATTGCTTGTAACAAGAATTAGTATAAGCGGAAACGAAGAAGCCCGAAAAGAAATAATTATCACAGATAAGCAGCTGGTAGGAGTGGTAGTTACTTGCTTCTAATCCGTCCGGCAAAACTCCGTCCCACAGTCCATAGACTCTGCCGTTGTTATATCTGTAGTTGTCAGCGGCTGTTATTCGTGTCTGGCTACGTCGTGTGAAGTAGGCCTTCCTTCCAGTTTGGTGGTCAATAAAAATGATTTCTGTGAACTAGAACGAAAAGCCACAGCGAAATAAGGGGAGAATGAAGCTATGATATTCTAAGAAATTTTAAGTTCACCTGCATTTTTTGGAATTGCTTGTTTTGATTGGCAAGATGATTACACTAATTGTCAGAACTGTTTTCCACAACTTTGCCAGTTGGTCCATCGGTAACTCATTAAAGCCATTTAAAGCAATTAATCAACTTACTTTGATGTTGTTGCAGTTTGTTCTGTACCCGTCAGTTCCATATGGAAATGTGGCATTATACTTGACCTCAGTCCTGGGTTTGGCGTATTCATCGGTAGTGTAACACATGGTCCATCCTCCATTGTATGACTTCATGTCACAGTAAGCTAGGAACGCGTTTGAATGGCTTCCACCATCAGGGTCTAACCAGTACATACCGTCTCCCTTAGAATGACCTTTCATTTTTATATCCCTGCAACTGACTTCTATCACTGTAAATAAGGTGATGAAATTTCAATCCAGCAACTAAACACCGTATGGACATTTTCTCCTTAGTATGCCATTAACATGAAAAATATAATCGGTCCCTAAGGAATTCACAGAAAACAGCTGAGAATTTAATTGCGGGCGACAAGGGGAAACCGCAATCCTTATCTCCAGGTTGTTAATACGCATGCGTCACATGTATGTAGCCAGCATTCGTTTGGACTTCCACTAAGGGAATGCACAGAACGCAATTTGATCTCACGCGTTTGCACCTTCTATCACTTGTAATCTCATCACGCATGTTTTGACTATCTGTCACGTGAAACTTACGCAAAGCACAGCGATGGAGCAAAAGCGTTTTGCCCTTTGATCGTTCTAGCCCGCACTCCGTAACCTTTAGTTAATTCTAACGGTTTATAAAAATGTTTAAAGGTTATATCTTGGCTTCGCTAATTTAAGATTACACAAACCCATATGTCGCGAAATTAACTTGCACCCTTCCAGAATGAGATATTGAGTTGTAGTCATTGACCTGGACATAGCCTCCCCCGCAGAGGGGGAGGATTACGCCAGTGACGAGCAAAAAGGAGGTCTGCGTGGGAGGCTCACTTGGACACCGCTTCTCAAAGACCGGCTAGTGCCGACCAGACCCAGGGTTTAAATTTAAACTAACAGTTGGTGAGTCATTAGCTTTACTGTCTCACTGACCTTTTTGGACTGTCATGTTGTGTAAGCATAACTGGTTGTCTCAGTTTAGGCTCGGCACTCTCATATAGAAAGGAGCGTTTTGCTTGAAATTTTAAGCTTTAAACCTTGGCTTCAGTTACATTTCGAGCTACCCTGGCCTAACCCAAAAATTCAGGTGGGTTAGGAAAAGTTAACATTTCCTAGGCTGATATTACGAAAAACAGTTTAAACGTTCCCTACCGTGTTCACAACGTATACCAATGACATGAGCCGGGCACAAACAACGGAATCCTTTTTCTGTAAATCCAGCTTGGCATGTTCCACCGTTCTCACAAGGAGCTTTATCACAAGCACTCTTTAGATAAAAGGAAATACTATAAGTTTTTTAGTAGAAGAAAATAATTTGAAATTATAAGAACCCAAAGAACTGAAAGAAGAACAAAGTCAGGTTCAAGTCCCGCCTGACTGCTTGCTGGACTCACGGTTCTCGGTGGTTCCGAGTTCAAATCCTGGACCACACTTGTTACTAGCTAGCTAGCTTGACTCTAGTCTGCTAATCAGCCGTTTTTAGTGTCGTCGGAGCGTTGCGTGACGACACTAAAAACGGCTGTGTAGCAGACTAGCTTGACTCCGGCCAGTTGGGTTTCTTAACCCTATTACGTTTGATTTGAAATGATTTGTCTAAGGCAATTGCTTAGCCCCACTAGCGTTAAGGCTATAAATACTACCGAGGGTAAATAACGGATTGTTTTGTTAATCTGGTGTGCTGACCACTCAGCCATGCTGCCAACTTTCTAATTCTAATTCTTATTCCAATTTTAATACAGTATACAGATTTAGCCAGGGCTAAAAGCGAAGCTCTTAATAATATTTCTACTTTTTTGAAACAAAGTATAAAATCGTGTAATGCTAAGTGGCGAAGGCAACGCTGGAGAACGGTGAAAAAAAAAACAACAATAGGTCTAATTAGCAAAAAAGCAAGTTTGCACGCCGGTGCCGTACACTTTTTTTTGTACATTTCTTTGCCTTTGTTTTGCACGACTACAACGTGAAACTTCCAGAAACTTCCTAGTTACACGTTTTATGGAGGAAATGTCCTACGTGTTGTCGTTCACCTTTTTTTCACTGCCACTCATTTTCACCTTGCATTGGTGGCCGCTAGCATTTCTCATTTTCTCACCGCCGCTACAAAATTATCGTTGCTCCTCCAACAAAAAATGTCTCCTTTGTTTTTATCTCTCGCTCTAGATTTCTGTCGCCCTTTTTCTTGATGAGCTTCGCTGGCCTGCCGCCTAATTGTTCTCTTTTCTTTGTCTTTCCCTTGCTCTACATTCCAAATTTGTGGACATGAAAATTTGAGTACTTTAGAAAACACGGAAACAGAAACAATTCCCGCTTTCCGTTTTCGTCTTTATTGCCTCTTTAGTTGTCTCTGCTTTACAAGACGTGGGTGGCTATGCATACGAGTTGCATTTGGGTGGCCATACCTGTTGATTGAGTTATTTTATATTGGTATGCCTGTGGTGATGACGGACGGTCGGCCGGGCAGGCGGGCGTACGGTCCCGTGATTACCAAAATTTCTCAGATGGGTAGATTACCATATTTTCTTACCCACGGTGCTCCGCTGCGCGCGCTTCGCGTGCGTGAGAGCTCCGCTACAATCCGAAAAGGGCATAGACATCACTGCAGATATTCCTTCGTTCCGTTTTAGAGGAACTTCATAACTGCTTACCTCTGCTCCACGATAAATGTATCCTTTTGCGTTCACGAAATCCTGATCGTGTCCCAGATGAGTTGAATTGTTTAATTCACAGTTGTAGCTGCCTCCTGCTCCCGAGCGCACTTCGTATTTAAAATTAATGCTAACACAGTAAGGTTCCTGGTAGCACAGCAGTTCACAGATATCTATGTCCAGGACTTGGCTTGTTCTAATCGTGTGGCCTTTGAGAAGTTTATCAGTGAAGGAGAAAGAAGCAGGGAACTTCAATTTACGACATTCACCTGAAAATGGCTATTATTAATACTGATTACCCAGGAAACCTAGGAGAGCTTGCTCGCGGGCTAATACTGATTGTCGGCGCTGTGCAGGTGCACAAGCGTGACCACGTAAGAGAGGTTAGGCTATAAGCACCTGATTTTGCTTGATATATCTGTCTATTCACGTCTGTCTTACCTCGCCCCATGCAAGGGGAATCCGCATCCCGAAATCCGGCAAATTTTTGCCACTTTTGGAATCCGGAGTCGTGGGCTTTTTGGAATCCATAAAACAGCTCAAGGAATGCCATTAAAGATTGGAATCGGGAATTTGAATTCCTTTTACAAGGTCAGGAATCCACTACCTGGAATGTGGAATCCACTGCGAGGAATTTAGAATCCAATCATGACTGTCTTGGATTCCCTTGCATGGGGTGACATTGCGCCTTGGTGCAAATAAGAAGCTTTCTCCACTTTAATGTCAAAAAATTGTTGTTTGTCTTTGCTTAAAATCATGTTTAAATGTGCGCTGGTGAAATTTGGGAAACTGCCCACCTACCACCTCCCCTAACTCAACGTTAACATTTGCGTCTCACTTGGCGCAAAATGTTGGGTTGGGGGGGGGGGGGGGGGGGGGACAGGTGGGGGTTCCAGTAAAACCAAAATTCTTAAAAAAATAAAACTTTTGGAAGTCACAGAAAAATTTGAAATTTAAAATTTTTTTGCAAGAGATTGAGGTGAATGAAATAATATTTTTGTTTTTAACGCACAAAAAATTGCAATATTTTTAGTTAAAGAGACAATAAAAGCGTCAAATCTGTAAAATTGAAACTTTTTCGTCGGAATTTATAGCTCATGGAACATAATTTTCTATTTACAGGCTACACAAAGTTGTCAGCTTTTGTGATAAGGCCAACAGAAGGCGTGACCGCACAAAAAATATAGGCAAATTGTTATGCACTATCTGTAAATTGTACAGAATGCGTAGTGACTCAGTCAATTCCAAATGTACCCATCCCCTGGGGCATTGGGAACGAATTTGTCATTGTCGAATTTCGTAATTTCCACCACTTTCCAAAAAGGAAAACTATTTCGTATTATGAGTACGTAACCACAGCTGTTTCAAGAAAGATGTTGTCACTCATAACTCTTAGGGGTTTTATTGTAATATTGCTGCTCTTACCGAACTGGCCAATGGACGGAGTAAGAACAACTATTGTAGACATTCTGGAAAGGCGAGCAATCTACTGTGGAGAAAAAACTTCGGCGGGCGGGGCTCAGTTTGGAAAGCTTTGCGAAGAATTTTTATAGAAAGTGTCACTGTTTCAAAGATTGCATGGAAGGTTTGTATAAAAAATGACCCTATCTGAAAAAAGACATCTTCACAGTCTGCAGAACTGCACAGCGTTGCAACATTGTTGCGACATTGTTTCGAAATGAAAGCGCTCAGGCCACCGATATTTTATGAATAAAATACAGTTTATTTTCATTAAGCACTCAGATGTTGTTGCCTGGGTTGTATTTGTGACAGTTAATACTGGTGCGTTCATTATATTCACTTCGTGGATTTGAGGTTTTACAGCCTCTTTCACAGGCAAGATTTTTGTTTTGTCTCCCAGAAGGTAGGGCATTTGTTCACATTTTCAAGCCCAAAATGGGCGTTATTATAACAGATCTGCTGGTCTCATCGTGGGCATTTGCAGCTAATTGTTTCGGCCGAAAAGATAACAAATGCCCAGGGAGGTAGGGGCCATTGGTTACCACGATGCATTTCGATTGATTGCTAATAACTACACCGTTATTTTTTGACGTTGTTTTTAATATGTGACTCTTTCTTGGAGTGACATATCTTAATGCACTTTCAGTTAATAACCGAGGACTGTAAAAAGATGCAGTTGCTGGCAACCAAGGCCGTAGCCAGCCCATAGACCCAGGGACTACAAATTTTTGTTTTGATCACTCTTCCGCTTGTAATACACTATGCGTTGTTGGGGCGAGCTAAAAAGCTTAAGAGCTTAAAGTGTTGGTGAAGTCATGCGTGCAAATTTCAGCATATGTGGAAATGAAAGCCAGCCACACAGGCCTGCAAACTCGAGTCGAAAAGTTGGCTACGCACCTGGCAACAGAGTTAAGCTGTCATCGAAATACCGCCTGCAAAACGGTTTACGCCACATGACGAGAACTCAATAATGGCTTTAGTAAAAATATATGAATTGTCCCGTCATGATCATTGGCTTTACCACCACTTTTCTCTCTTCTTTCTTTCTTTTTTTAAAAGAAAAGGTAGTATGTAATGAGAGATGACTAAATTTTTGATGCCAATATTAAATTAACATAAAAGAGACCTCACAAAAATAAACTTCAGTCAATGATGTACATAATAAGCTTACTGACAGCGCAAATTATCTCTGAATACCCAGATGTGCTAGGTGACAAACGTACATAGGCTTAAACGAAAGCAATGTGCGGAAACTTTAATAGAAAGAAATTGAAGGCAAATAAATAGAGGTGTATAATTCTCATTTCTTAAAATGGAGCGAAAATTGCAAGCAACGCTTCACTGTGGTTGTCGTTTAAGTAATTTTTCCGTTTAATAAACGCAATCCATGTCATATTCAAAGATTAAATCAACTCAAAGACTTGTATTTCGCGATATATTTGGGGCAAACTCAGTTCAGTTTATCAGTAAACATAAAAATAAAAGTTGAGATTTTCATATGCTTCCCGGGGCTATTACTGATATTGTACTTTCAGCTGTTCAAGTGTTAATTCTCAAAAACGCCCATCACATATTTCTGCTCCTGCGAAAAAACTGATTAAGTTCGACAAAAAACTGATCGAGTACAGTTTATTTGTAGAGTTTGCAGCAAGAGGTTGAGGTTTTCCTAAGTTATGTTTGGCTGTGCTGTCTGTTTGTGAAGTTCTGAACTTTATTCATGATCACATTCTGCATATAGATTTAAAAAAATTATAATTCGGTACTCAACTTTGAAAAGTATTAGATGGGTCAAACAAGGGGAAGTTTTTACAGCCGAGAGGGAGTCATATGTAAGGTTTCCGTAATTTCGCCGTTATTTTCTAAACTATAGATAATTCCAACGTTTATCATGACATTTTCCCAACCACGCGTGGTTAGAGAAAACAAGAACAGTATTAAGAACTCAACACTTACCGGTCAAAGCTAAAAACAAAAGAGATACAAAAAACTCAAAATGACCAGATTAGACCATCCTAGTTCTCCCTCACTTCTCACTCGAATACAACGTTTAAACGTTTTAAAAATATAAGCAGCTGTAAGCACTGGTCGTGTCTAAATATTTTTTTATATACCGCAGGTTGCTTGTAATGATACCGTATGTAAGTTATTTTTTAACCAATCGCTGTTTGGTGTTTATTATAAGCAGCTGCCTGATATTATTTTCGTGTATAAGAATTAGTTAAGGTGGCTCGATGGGGTTTTTCAGGACCAATACCTTTCAAGCTTGAGCATGACTACGTCGCTGTCGATAAAGACTGGAAAAATTACCTCCTCAGCTGTATTAGATAAAGATGAAAATTTGTTATGATCAGGGTTGAAATGAAATCAGAATTGTCATTGCAACGAAATGACGCCATTACCTAANCAAAAAACTCAAAATGACCAGATTAGACCATCCTAGTTCTCCCTCACTTCTCACTCGAATACAACGTTTAAACGTTTTAAAAATATAAGCAGCTGTAAGCACTGGTCGTGTCTAAATATTTTTTTATATACCGCAGGTTGCTTGTAATGATACCGTATGTAAGTTATTTTTTAACCAATCGCTGTTTGGTGTTTATTATAAGCAGCTGCCTGATATTATTTTCGTGTATAAGAATTAGTTAAGGTGGCTCGATGGGGTTTTTCAGGACCAATACCTTTCAAGCTTGAGCATGACTACGTCGCTGTCGATAAAGACTGGAAAAATTACCTCCTCAGCTGTATTAGATAAAGATGAAAATTTGTTATGATCAGGGTTGAAATGAAATCAGAATTGTCATTGCAACGAAATGACGCCATTACCTAATTTACGTGTAGTCATATATCTCGGCATTGAGAACTATTTTTCCAAAATCGGTCATGGGAACTTTTTTCTGCAATAGGTGCCTCGATGTTAGCGAAGTTTGAGCGAAGTCTATGAGACCGTCATGGAGATATGAAATTTTAATGGTTGGAACTTCAGTGTACAGTTACGGTGGACAATCTTGATGTTCGGCCGTCATCTTTAGGAAACGAAGCGCTTTTGAAACGCAATTTTGCCTCAGGGTAGTTTTATTCACATTTAAACATATTTGAAAGAACCATGGGGATAGCTTTAGCCGATCGCAAGAAAGAGGGATTTGAATATCATACATTGAGGTGCTCTTTTCGGCGTTTTTTAAAATATTTTGATCTACTTTAACAAATGAGCGAATAATTTTGAAACTGCTAGATATTTTTTTTAAAAATGAGATTCTCGAGATAAATGGAAAGTCAGTCATAGCTCTATGCTCCTGTATTAATGACGGAGCCACCTTAATGCAGCAACGTTGTAAGCGGCAGACTTCTCCTTGTTGAAAGATCTTAATTCAAAATTTTTAAAAGGTGAGTGACCGAGTCCTTTCTGAGGCGAAAAAGCAATCGAAAATCCCGGCTTCGTCATCATATTCCTCTTGGGGTAAAATCCGTCCCTATGGTGCGGAATTTGTTGAACAGGCATTTTACGTCGATTGGGGTAGTCTCTCTGTCTGTTGAGCAGTAGTCCGTCTATTTTAGGTCATTTCAAAATGGATGGCCATGAAAAACATGTTAAACAAGGTTTAGACCTACCTGTGAGCAAGTTTGACTTTCTATTGTTCCTAAGTCGGTGCTGAGACGCGGTCTAAACAAGGTTACGGAAGAACAGCGTTTAAATAATCGGTTTTCATAGTTTACAGTACGGGCTAGACGATGACTTTCATAAACGCTGTCCAGACTTGGTTTAAATAAACGGCCCTTTGAGTTCAAAGAAATGAAACAATAAATACGAAATGACTACAAAAAATCTCTTTTCCAGCGCAAAGGCCTCACGTTGTAGCTCAGTAGGAGTATTTTATGGTGAAAGAGGATTGGCGGCTTTTACTTCAAGCACTCTACTTTGTCAAAACGTTTGAAGTCATGTTTCCTACAGAGCGACTTAAGATTTCCAAGTGCCAACTTGAAACAAAAAAAAACTTGGCTTCTAGTGTGAAGCCAACAAATAAAGATGAAAAATGAGAGGCTCCTATTTGGCGTACTTTTCCTCTCCCATTCTTTTTGCTGGCTTTGCCGGCTCGTGCCGTTGGCAATTTCGTCGCCAAATTTTTCCCTGAATTGCTCAAGCGAGCCTACTCTCAGGCTCATTTAACCCGTCTAGGGTTATGAAATCAAACAGGGATAACCTCTCAGTCAACTCTCAGGCTTCCCAGTCATAGGGCTTAAAAAGCGTTCTGTTAGTAATGGTATAAGGTTAAGACGCACACCAGCCAAGGCTCACACGGTCGGAGCTTATAATCCGGTCACAGTAACATGAGGCACCTAGGAGAATTGCTATTCCCCCTCGGGCGGGACGCTAGTCCATCGCAGGGTTGCGTACCCCAAGAAACATAGAGAAGCTAAGTTTCTTGTCTAAGTGAACAACGTGACACTTGATGCCGGACCTACAGATCCGAAGTTCGAGGAGCCATTTAATAACCACTCGGCCACAACGTCTCCACCTGTTAGTCAAGAACAAAACTGAATCACTTCAACTTGATTGGGGTCTAATTTATGTGATGACAATGAGCTTCATTTACCTTTTATGTCTATCGTTTATGTCTTTACAGAAATAAACAAAAAGCGAATTGTTCTCCATTCGATTACAGTAAGCTGTGTAGCCTGCGCCACAGACAATACGGAACTCTGGTCAAGTCCGTTTGCGAAACAGCGCCGAAATCCTTGTTCCTAACCCTTACCTCTGTCCCAGGATTTGAATACGAGCCATGATTGGCCTGTTGAAAAAGCCATTGTCGATTTGCCAGTCAGTATGAAACGAAACTCGAAACACACTTCGTGTAATTCGTTGAGTCCGTTGGGGGCACAGAAAAAGGGGCGCTGCTTCGCCGACGTTAGTAACCGATGTTAAATTACGCCTGAGACGCAGGCTATAAGCTGTGACGTATCCTTCATGTCTTCAATCTTCTTTCAGCCGCATACACAAAAGCCTGCGTCACTAAAATCTAAACGCCCAAGGGTAATCTCAACCCATAGTCATAGTGATCTGTGATAGAATGGCGCGGAGGGAGCTTCTAACAGCCAAACCTCTCACACAAGGTACTTTTTTTTGTGAGTTTTAGGAAGACGTTACAGTTTCCCTTAGCGTTACTAAGAGCGGTGAAGTTTGAAACATCGTGAATTCACATTTTGCGTAACATTTTCGCTGCAGTTGCCGTTGTCGTTGCCTAAGCCCCCTAATACTGAATGAAACGTTTTGGAAAGGTAGCGATGTCTTAGATGTAGACAGTAGTACATGTCAACTCTCTTTGTCGACGGTCCCTGAAAGAGCGAGGTTCTGCGATTTCTTTGGCTGTTCGTGGCTCTGATTTTTGAGAATCATTTTAACAATATTTTTCGTCCAATTCCTGTTCTGCAGAGAAACAGTGAGTCGTTTAGTTTGCGCGAAAACTATTTTAACAAAGTGACGTCTTAATATAAACAGCTCGGGACGTAGAAAATAAAACGTGATAAGTGACTCAATATTTCGTTTTAACTTTTATTGGAACACTCAAAACATTATGTTGGAGGAAACTGGAACCGCCCTTATGTTTACCCTTTCTAATTAAAGGCCTCACGAACAGAGTGTGGTTCGCCTGTGTACAGATATTTGCTGAGTACCCGTGCGTTGATAAACTGGAATCAAGGTCGCGATTGTGTATTGGGGCAATATACCACCATGTCGATGGTAAAGTTCTCTCATCTTCCAAATTTGGTGCATGACCTTCTACTGGTTTTGAAGAATTAGCGGGGGGATTTAGTTGTTTCAATTAACTACATAAAAAGATCGACGCTTCAAATCTTATTTGGTTCGACCCATAAATTATGATTTAGTGACCCACATAGGAATTTCGACTGTGGGGCGACATCGTTTAAAACGTCGAACTTCTCATGTGACGAACCTAATGTATAAATTACTAATATATTTATTTAGCCAGGGCTAAAAGCGCCGGAAGGCTCGATAATATTTTTAGTTTGCTCGAACAAAATATAAAATTGTGTAATGCTGAGCGGCGAAGGCAACGAGAACGGTGAAAAAACAAAAATAGGTCTAATTAGCAAAAAAGCAACTTTGCACTTGAACACGCTTTTTTGTACATTTCTTTGCCGTTGTTTTGGAAGACTACAACGTAAAACTTCCAGAAACTTCCTAGTTACACGTTTTATGAAGGAAATGTCGTACGTGTTCTTGTTCACTTTTTTTCACTGCTGCTCATTTTCACCTTGGTGGCCGCAACAATTTCTCACTTTCACCGCCGCTACAAAATGTTCATGTTGTTCTTCCAACAAAAAATGACTCCTTTGTTTTTATCTCTCGCTCTAACTCTCTGTCGCCCTTTTTCTCTCCTTGAGCTTCGCTGGCGTGCCGCCCACTTTCTCTTTTTCACTGTTCACAAGACCCGGGTGGCTATGCGATTTCACGCCAAAATAACCTCAAGTTGCATTTGGGTTGCCATACCTGTTATTTGAGTTATTTTACGTTGGTATTCCTGTGGTGCGGACGGACGGGCGGACGGGAAGACGGTCACGTGATTACCAAAATTTCTCGAATGGGTAGATTACCACATTTTCTTAGGTATGGGGCTACGCTTGCGCGCAAGTGGAGCCCCGCTAAAATTTTTATTTTCACTTGTGAGCATTTTATATTAGACCATTAAACATCGTGAAAATGAATTGAGTCCGACTAAGTAAGTTCGACGTCTGAATCAACTGTCGAACTTATATCATTTGGGTCGACCTAAATTAGCAATTAGTGAATTCGGCTTTCGTAGGATATGAAGAATTATGCAGATTAAGGAGGATGTTCGGCCTCGGTGGATAACACCCTCCGAGATCTGCATAATTCTTTTTAGTAAAATTCAGTTAGTGGTCTACTACTAGGCTATAAGTTATAGCCCACTAGTAGCAAAAAGCGGCGGATTTTGGCGGCAAAAAAGGATTAAAGTTTAGCTTTAACTAGCTAAAGTTGTTTTGTCTCGATATTTTTGACTAACTAGTTGGATTTTACTAAAACAATTATTCCTCTCGACCTCATGGCCTCTGAATCAATAGCTATTGACTCAAAGCCCATTCGGGATTGAGGAGTAATTGTTAAATATCCTACGAAAGCCGAATTCATTAATTGCTTTATTGGTCATTTCAAATAATTCCTAGTTTAAAACAAGCTAAAACATGCTTACCTTCGTCGATGTTAAGTTCACCTCGATAGTACCTGTTTAAAAGATAAAGGGCTATTCAGCTCCAAAAAGCAGATGTTCTCCGTCGAGTCGTCTTCTTGCTATGTTTTTAGAAAATAGTTTGTCGTGAAACTAATAAAATGTTCCGCCGACTGTTCGGCCATTTTTTTTTTTCACGACCAAAACAACTCAACCTCGTTCCCAGGTCTTCTCGTTTAACGTTGCATTAACCTGCAACAGTGCTGCACTTTTGACGTCTTCGGTTGATTAATCGAAAAGTTCTTTCAAATTTGGTCAACAGTAGCTGTTTATGGATGTGCTCTTAGCCAATCAGAAAGGGAGAAATATTTTGAATGAATAGTAATAGGTATTAAAATCGGCAAATGAAAAGATCGACGTTTGAAATGGGCCTAAGTAACGATTTCAACTCAGAATTGACCTAAAACAGCAACGTTCTGGTGACATAATCCCTTTAAGAACTTTCGTTTTTCATTCTTGGTAACAAATGAAATGAATTTATACACGGATAAAACTGCAGGTTGAAAGCTGCAACAGTCAGAAATAGTGTTAACTTCACCAGTTTCTAACCCAGGGCGGGCTTACTATCCACCGTGGTCTGACCCGTCTAAGGTTACGTAAACAATCAGGAATAATCTCTCAGTCGACTGCCACGCTACGCTTCATTGGGCTAAAAAAACGTCCTATTTGAAACAATGAGGTAAAAGCGCACAAAAACCAAGGAGGTCTATTCCACGTGGCCTGAGCTTCATCCGGGCTTCTGTAGCACGAGGAAGGTACAGTTGAATCACCAAGAAAAAATAGCGTTAGTCCAAATTCGCTTAGAGAATTAACTTAGTCCAGCCAGTTTGTCAGCCCAGTTTACACAAGTAGGAAGATCAAAGATGAAATTAAGGTCAAGGAAGACAAGCCGCCTCTTGTGAGTCAACAATGCATGGTGTATTCTTTCCAGTGTAGCCTGTGTGATGCAGGCTATGTCGGCTACACGTGCCGACACCTACACCAACGAATTGAAGAACACAAAGGATCGGCAATCGGAAACTACCTCAGAGAGCAGCATGATATGGAGCCTGAAGACATCGCACAAAGTTTTAGAATCTTAAGAAAGTGTCAGAACAAATCTGACTGTCTTATTTTTGAAATATTTTTTATCCAAGAACTGAAACCGACGCTTAACAAACAGTGCGATTCTTTTCGCGCCAAATTATTTGTTTAGAGTAGTTCTTGTTAACATTGTTTTATTTCCATTGTTTTTTTTTTACTTTATAAATATTTTTAGCACTTTTTACATTTTTACATATTTTACCACATTTTAGCGTTCACCACATTTTTATCTATCATAACTTGTTTTTAACTTATTTATGCTAATTTAGAGAACTTTTATACACTTGAAAATGACCTCGGAGAGGTCGAAACGTCGTGATTTTTTATCGCTAATATTTATCTCAAAATCGATTTCTAAGAAACTACTTATTAAGAATTAACTTAAACCAAGTAAACGGCGACGACGATATCTTAACGCAACCCGACACTAATCAGCCTGTTGCTGAGGGGTCGGTGACCATTTTCGTTGAAAGCCACACCATTGTACGAAGGATTTGTAGTGGCTGTTCGGAAGTAAGGCGATTTAACATCACCACACCACATGTAACACTCTTTGTAACAATCAGTGTAACCGGAAACGAAGAAGCCCGAAAAGAAAGAATGATCACAGATGAGCAGCTGGTAGACGAAGTGTGTGTTGCTACTTGCATTTGCTCCTACTCCGTCCGTCAATACTCCATAACCATTACCTCCCTTCCCGTAGTTACCAGCGGCTTTTATTGGTGTCTGGTCACGTTGTGTGAAGTAGGCCTTGCTTCCAGTTTGGTGATCGATAAACATGATTTCTGTGAACTAGAACAGAAAGCAACAGCGAAATAAGGGCAGAAAGAAGCTATATTAATGATGAACTAAGAAATTTTAAGGTCAACTGCATTTGCTGATGCCATTTTTGTAATTGCTTGTTTTGTTGGCAAGTGAGATGATTACAGTAATATTCAGAACTGACCCTAGAACTCAGAACTGTTTTCCAGAGCTTTTGCCAGTTTTTCCATCGGTAACTCAATAAGCCATTCAAAGCAATTAATCAACTTACTTTGATGTTGTTGCAGTTCGTTCTGTACCCGTTCGTTCCATATGGAAATGTGGCACTGTACTTGACCTCAGTCTTGGGTTTGGCGTATTCATTAGTTGTGTAACACATGGTCCATCCTCCATTGTATGACGTCATGTCACAGTAAGCTTGGATAGTGTTTGAATGGCTTCCTTCATCTGGGTCTAACCAGTACATACCATCTCCCCAAGACTGACCTTTTATTTTTATGTCTTGGCAGTTGACTCCTGTAACTGAGAATAAAGCAAAGACTGATGGAACAGCTACTATTCAGAGAAGTAATACCGTATGGAAATTTTCTATTTAATACGCCGGTTAACATAAGTTCGGACAAGAGCCAAGGTTCGGAATAGTCTCTAAAAAGTTTACAGTTGCTGCGTGCCTTTTAGATAAAGCACCTTATCAGCTGCATCAATAGTAAAATTATTTGAATTTTTCCTACCTGGGTGTTCGCAGTGTTCACCGGCGAAACCAAGGGCGCACAAACATTTGTACTGTTGTCCTGTAAATCCACTTTTGCAAGTACCACCGTTCTTACAAGGCGATTTATCACAAGCATTCTTAGGGGAGGAAATTTTAAGTTAAAAAACTTCAACATAAACCGTGAAGCACGATTATATAACAATTATTCACTGAAGTGGAGGTGGCTAGTATTGGATATATTTACCGAGGCCGCGGAGCGGTGAGGTAAATATCCACTACTAGCCACCGAAACTGAGGTGAATAATTGTTTTAGTATATACTAAAACAGGGAGATAATTGAGCACAAAATGATGATTTTTAACTCATTTACTGTTGCCATCGATTACAATTTTGGCGCGCGATGACCGAACGGCAGCGGTCGTCGCTTTTTCTTAGCGACAAATAAAACTTTTGAAGGCGTTTGTTTAGCTCTTGCGGGAAAGTTTCTTCAAAAGGAGTTGCGAATTCTGTTTGTATTTAAAATAATTCTGTAAAAAAGATTATTAAATTTAGTTTTAAGCTTATTTATGAACAAGTCAACTAAATAAAGTAACGCAAGACTTAAGCTTAATTTGCATTTGTAAACAAAAAACTTTTTCACCAGGTTTCATCAATAACTATTCAAGTCAAAAAGACAAAGCTTTACCTGTTAAAACTTCCAAACCGAACTTCGTCACCTTCTTCATGTATTTCGGAAATAGCTTGCTTGATTAGTTGTGAAATTTCTTAGTTTGTTACGGCAGCAAACCTGGAAAACATTTTGCTCGCAACCTACGTGAGTTTGGCGTCGCTCGCTCGGCGGAACTGGAGGTCAATCAGTGAATAGTGCAGGACATTCACTGATTGAGTAGCCAATCAGAGCCCTCGAAAAACACTATCCACTGTTTTAGTATATCCTAAACCGAGGTATCTCTTTTCAACCAATTAAGTTAGGCGTAAACATTCCAACTTCAAGCTTTAACTTTAATGGCCAAAGCTGAACAGTAAAAGCGAACAGATATTTTGGAAAACTTCCCGACACAGTAGTTAATCAAGAAAAAACTTGATAACTTAAGCAAGGATCATATGTCTAATGTGTCTCTAGAGGGCTTTTTACAGCCATAGAAATGATTTAGAAATATCAAAACAATCGTACTTCATTTGGGGAAGCACAATGTAAGCGAATTTTGCTATAATTTGCCCTGGCTTACTTGAAACTCAAAACGCGTTATTGCGTGTCGGGTTGTGAAAATTGCAACATTTCTGTCAACAACGGAAAGTATCGCGTCGGATTTCAGCCCTGTGATTATAAAATATTTCCAAAAAAGCGCTCTTAGATACCAACTTTGGCCTTTGGTTTTCTCGGCTTACATTTAACTAAAATGCTTCATTTTTGGAACTTGAGCTCAGGCTAAGAGTACTTTTCAAATAAGCGATTTTATAAACATGACCATTTTTGGACTTTATAGCAGTTCTAATACCTTAACAATGAGGACTGTAAGCCAGCCCCATTGACCTGTAGGCCCGGGCTTTCAAATTGTTGGTTTGATCACTCTACCGTTTGTAATAAATTATGCGTTTTTGGAGTGAGCTAAAAAGCTTAAGAGCTCAAGCGTTAGTGAGTTCCATGCGTTCTAGTCATGAGTGCAATTTTCAGGATATGTGGAAATGAAAGTCAGCCAGGCCTGCAACTAATCGAAAAGTTGGCTACGCACCTGGCAACAGAGACAAGTTGTCAACGAAACACCATCTGCAAAACGGTTTACACCACATGTCGAGAACTAAATAATGGCTTTAGTAAAAATATATTTATTGTCCCGTCATGATCATTGGCTCTACCCTCACTTTTCTCTCTTCTTTCTTTCAGTTGAAAAGAAAAGGTAGTATGTAATGAGAGATGACTAAATTTTTGATGCTAACATTAAATGAACATAAAAGAGACCTCAAAACAATAAAACTCTCGATGATGTACATAATAAGCTTACTGACAGCGCAAATTATCTCGGAATACCCAGATGTGCTAGTTGACAAACATAGGCTTAAACGAAAGCAATGTTCAGAAACTTTAATACAAGGAAATTAATGGCAAATTAATATATAGTATATAATTCTCATTTCTTAAAATGGAGCGAAAATTGCAAGCAACGTTTCACTGTGGTTGTCGTTTAAGCAATTTTTCCTTTTAATAAACACAATCCATGTAATATTCAAAGATTAAATGTACTCAAAGACTTGTATTCCGCGATATATTTGGGGCACAATCAGCTTAGTTTAACAGTAAACATAAAAATATTATGTGAGTTTGCTTCATTCATTTGCTTCCCGGGGCTATTACTGCAATTTTAATTTCAGCTGTTGTTAACTCTCAAAAACGCATACCAAATATTTCTGCTCCTACGAAAAAACTGATTATTTTTAACAAGTAGCATGAATTTTGAAGTTCATATGACTACCGTGAAAGCTAAACTCAGGCGATCGAGTTCAGTTCTTTGCAAAGTTTGCAGCAAGAGGTTGAGGTTTTCCTAAGTTATGTTTGAACTTTATTCACAATCACATTCTGCATATAGATTTAAAAAAATTCTGAATTCCATACACAACTTTGAAAAGTATTAGATGGGTCAAACAGCACGGGAACTGTTTACAGCTAAGAGCTAGTCATATGTAAGGTTTCCGTAATTTTGCCGTGTTTTTCTAAACCATAGATAATTCCAACGTTTATCATGACATTTTCCCAACCACGCGTGGTTAGAGAAAACAATAACAGTATCAAGAACTTAACACTTACCGCTCAAAGTTAAAAACAAAAGAGATACGAAAATCTCAAAGTGACCAGATCAGACAATCCTAGTTCTCCCTCACTTCTCAGTCGATTAAAACGTTTAAAAGTTTTAAAAAATAATATATTAAGCAGCTGTAAGCACTGGTCGTATCTAAATATTTTTTTACATACCGCAGGTTGCTTGTATTGATACCGTATGTAAGTTATTTTTTAACCAATCGCTATTTGGTGTTTATTATAAGCAGCGGTCTGATATTATTTTCGTGTATAAGAATTAGTTAAGGTGGCTCGATGAGGTTTTTCAGGGCCAATACCTTTCAAGTTTGAGCATTAACTACTTTACTCGCCATCGATAAAGATCTGGAAAAATTAACACCACAGCTGTATTATATAAAGATGAACATTAGTTATGATTAGGGTTGCAGTGACATCAGAGTTGTCATAACAACGAAATGACGCCGTTACCTAATTTACGTGCAGCCACAGTAGTTAATCAAGAAAAGGTTTGATTCGTTCTTGGTAGGAACTTCTCAGGGGCTAATAAGGAAAATGAAAAAAAAAAGGACTTTTCACATTTGTGCTAGCTCGATATGTCAGGACTAAACTCGGGGAATCATTTGCTCGTAATACCGAGATTCCAGTTGAAGTTGCCTTGTCCGCATACTGATAGAGTCTTAAAGTAAGTTCTGTTGACGAGGTGAAACAAGCAAAGGAGTAAATACATTACTAATATTGTTTTTTTAACTAATTAATTATAAACAGTCAATCATATTTCAGTACTGTGAGACATCCCGTCGCAAAGTATAGATAATCAGAACTGAATCGGGGCTGCAATCGATCTACATGACCCTCATTCTATGGAAGTTCGGCGTATAAGTCTTTGTAACGACAAATATGACTTCCGCCGGGGCACTAGGATTCCATATGGTCTTGTTTTGCATCTTTATGAATTTCTTCGTTACCAACAGTGCTAGTTAGCGAGGTATATTAGCCTTGCTGGCACGAAAAGTTTAAAGCGACAATCAGAAAATGGTTTGGCTTTCGCTACCTTTGGTGTTCACAAATTCTGCCACTTAAACAGTACGCCTTGCTCTCGGCTTCGTGAAAAATGTTTAAGACTGCGTTAAACTTTGTGTCGCGATCATCCATCGTCTTTCTCCGCCAATTTTGCCGCTTTCTTTCACGAGCGGAAGGACTGATTTTATGTGAGCTTCTACTAAGCGATAAATACAACAACTGCTCCGACAAGTTTCTTGACTGCGCTGTGTTCCATCACCTAAGCAAAATAAAAGAAGAAAAGGGAAAGAGGAAAGAAAAGAAAGAACAAACATTAAAACTGCATACTCCTACAAAGTAGAAATCAAGCTTTGCAATTCAAGTTTTTTTGTGTCAAGCAGACGCTTGCCAGGTTTCGTCTTAAAAAGCAAGATTTCACGATTTTGCCAGGGTTTTTCACCGAATTTAATAACCAGTTTTTCCGCCGTGCAAATGGCCATGGTTCACTCACCCAAGGCCTTTTTAAATATTTGATAATGTTAATTAACCGCACAAGTCCCAAATGCCCTGAGGTGTATACGGTAAACAACCCTTGTTCTTGCTACATTGACACGTGCAGTAAGAAACTGATCCAATCAGAAATGATTATTCAAATCAAAACGTTGTTTAGCGCCACATTCAAAAATTGTTAACTTTGGTTGCGGACATGCTGGCTTGTTCACGATAGAGAAACAGGGCGCTCCCACAATAAACTGGCTATCTGTCTTTCTCAGCTTCACTACAAGAAAGCTAACTACGAAAAGTGGTTTAATTTGCCTGGGATGTTAAAACCAGCGAACGAGGTAAATTACTAAGGTAAAGTTTTGTTATCGTCAGTTCGGTTTGACGTTTGACACTTGTA